TTAAGGGCCAATTCTGCTGGGACAATTAGACCATGTGTAAGACATCTGTTTTAATTTTATTCATACTCTGTTATTTCTCCCAGTCAATGATGTTGTTGGTCACAAATTATTCAGAGGGAAAAAAAGAGTTGGTAAAATATCCAAGAGGGCAACAAAAGCCATGAGGAAAAAAAGCAGCAGCAGCAACACATTAACAAATGATTCTTTAAAAGCTTTCCTGGCTGAATCTCCCAAGGCATTTCAAAGGATGGGAAAGAAATGAGAATAAAAAATGTAATATTTGTGTCATTCTTTTTGTCTGAAGTTGTTTTAAAATTGTGGTTCTTTTACTGTTGTGTTAACTGTGTTATAGACTGTACTGAAGTGTACATTAAAATTACTTGTGATTCATTTTAAGATTCAAAGGGTAATCCAATCAACAACAAGAGGGGATTGGAGGATTTCTTGATGACCATTTGCCTATGTACATCAGTTGCCGGGGAACACTGTGGGAAAGTGTGGTTGTGTTTGTGTTTTCCTGAGGGCAGCTAATTGAACAGAATGCTGGACCAGAGGGACCCTTGGTCTGATCTAGCATGGCCCCTGCATAGCTATTCAGCAAGCTAGCATGTTGAGTCGCCTTTGCCAAGCTGGAACGGCATGGGCCTGCAGCCGGATGGATGACCACATGTGGGAGCAGAGCAGGGGGTTGGGCTCAATGGCCTTATAGATCTCTTCCAACTCTGCTTCTATCCTATCCATGTCCTTATGCACTGTGCACAGAATTATTACTGTGCAAGAACACTTTGTGCTGGGACTACCACTAGTTCCTCAGCTTGTGGGTGAAATAGCTAAAAAAGTCAGGGAAATCATACCACAGATGCAATTGAATGGGTTCCTGAACAGTCCTGGGGATGAGCTGCGTGGGTGGTGGGTAGGATTATTTGGAGCCCCAGCTCCAGGGCACTCTGAATGCTAAGTTCCCATCGTGTCCACCTCACAGCAGGCTCCCTCTTGAAGTCACAAACTGGCCTTGGAGTGGAGAAAAGGGCCATGCCATGAGGACTGGGAGGAGAGGCACCTTGGGCCAACAGCTTATGCTGTATCAAGATGGCACCCAGGCCTCCTTCCTTTCCCCTCCATACTGCTTCATCTAGATGGCTGAAACAACTATCTAGATGAAACACAAGGTGAAAGGCATGGCAGCTCGCTTGCAGAAGCTCATGTGCCTCAAGGTTAGGGGGAACTAAATTATGCCCTATATAGCTATGTTTTATGAGCTCACTTAAGTATCTCGTTAGATCATTTCTGTGCTCTGATTGTTACACACAGCTCTCAGTGGTTTCACGAGGGACTTAAGCAAGTCACTATTTTAATGGATGTTTTTTGGCATGTCTGCATGATGTTTGCACAGACTGCAAGGTGCTGGCCAACCTTGGTTGCGGCCATTGCTTGGCCTCTGCAGACTGCCATGTCATAGAAGTGGGAATGTGGAATGGAGGGGCAACAAACATACACTCTGCTGGTTCCAGTAGTGGATTATGCCTGCCCAATGTCAGGCAGATAGATACATATCTTTAAGTTAATAGCAGTTGCCCTTTAACAAAGAAGAGGAAAAAATATGCATTTCCTGCAGAATTGGATAACATTTTCAGAGATATTTAGAGAGAAGATCTAGTCTAAAACTGGAACAGGCAGGTAAAACTGAATTGGCTATACCCATGGTAGTTTGGACTGAGACTGAAATGAGCCCAATGAATTCCTACTGTACAGACCAGATGCACTTTCTTTTACAATATTTCACCTTGGGACTGTGATTCTGTGGCAGAAAGACCTGTCGTTTTTATTTTTTATTTATTTTATTTATTTCTGATTTATATCCTGCCTTTTTCCTCCAAAGGGCTCAAGGCAGCTTACATCACTCTCCTCCTCCATCTTATCCCCACAACAACAACCCTGTGAGGTAGGTTGGGCTGAGAGTCTGTGACTGGCCCAGAGTCACCCAGTTGGCTCCATGGCTGAGCGGGGACTCGAACCCAGATCCTCTGAGTCCCAGTCCCATGCTCTTAGCTGCTACGCCACACTGCCTCTCGTTCTACCTTCTAAAACTGAGCACATCAAGGACGCATTAGTCTTCACAGCATCTTCCCTCAGCATTTGGCCACACAACTTTATTAACTCTTTTAGAGAGTCATTAAGAGAACCTTTGGGTTATGGGGTGGCATAGAAATGGAATAAAAGAAATTAAAAATAAACAAACATTCCTGACATTCCTGCAGATGTTTACTAGGGGACTCGAACCCAGATCCTCTGAGTCCCAGTCCCATGCTCTTAGCTGCTACGCCACACTGCCTCTCGTTCTACCTTCTAAAACTGAGCACATCAAGGACGCATTAGTCTTCACAGCATCTTCCCTCAGCATTTGGCCACACAACTTTATTAACTCTTTTAGAGAGTCATTAAGAGAACCTTTGGGTTATGGGGTGGCATAGAAATGGAATAAAAGAAATTAAAAATAAACAAACATTCCTGACATTCCTGCAGATGTTTACTAATGACTGCCTGCCCGAATTTCTTGTTTCTGTTTTAAATAGTTCACCCTCTGCCCACTTCAACATAAAACCTGTAAAATATGTCATATTATACCCTGTGGCACTGATCTTACCACAGAGGACAAGGTTGGGAGACCCACAATGCTCAGTGGCTGATATTATAGGGCGCAGGCTTCCTCTTAGCACTCACATATGACTTGTTCAACTGACACTTTGAAAGGAAGCTTGAAGCATCTTCAGTGTGAATCACAATGCCAGCCACTTTTCGAGTGCTCTTTTGCAGCTTCATGAAAAACTTTATAGTTGGTTCAAACTTTGGTTACCAGTGTGCCGAGTACCTCTCATACTACTGGCTTGGGAAATAATGAAATAAAGACAGAAAGATCCTTGCAAAACAGCAGAATCTGCTATCCAAGGACACTATTCAGGGCTTCTCCACAGATTACTAACACTTCTGGATTCTCTGAAGAATTAAGATTGGCTCCTTATACCCCCACCCCTGGTATTCTTTCTCTGCCTTTCTCTGTATTCCATTACCCAACACAAAGTTCCAGGTTGTTTGCTGGAAAACCAAAACTGTGGAAACATGCAAGTTTCTCAGTATGGTCCAATCTGCCATTTCCAGGTAATGCTACACTTTCCTCACTCGAACAAAAGCTGTGGAAATGCTTGGAAAACACAGGAGCAGCCACAGAGGATGAAAACATTGTGTAAAGCACTTGCAAATTACCATGTGTGAGGAATAATCAGTGTGCAGTACATGCTTCAAAGCCTCTAGAGAGCCATGCATGGTGAAATGCTCCCTAGACCTCATGTCTGCTCTGGGTCGAGAGAACTAACAAAGCACACTGAACCTGGGATCACACCTTTGATATGTTACTTCACATCCCTCTCCCAAAGCACTGGGAATGCCAAGTCCTGGAAAACAATGTGATTGGATGCTAGAGCTATCACACTACACCCCTTTTCTTACTCTGGCGTGGTTTGTTTTCTAATTTAGTATGGAGAGCTTGAGAAGAAATGCCACTTTTTAGATAGACCCTTCCTACCTTGTGTCTCTGTCTCTCTCAGCCTTCCAAATCTTCAGGGGTGTCCAGTTTCTGATATGGTCCACTAGAGAGGAGTCCTGCTTCAACTTAGACTTATTCCAAATCTGTTTAAATCAGGCTGATTAGGTTTTTGATCCAGCTGAACGCAGAAGACACCTAGTGGAAGGCTGGTTTCACATATGGCTTTTGGGCTCTTAGGCAACATAGACATGCATTTGGACAATTCTATAAGACTTCTCCAAACAGGTGTCCTTCAGATACTTGGCACATCAACTCCCTTAACCCAAGCCAACATGACCAATCATCAAGAATGCTGAGTTGAAGTACAAGACACCAGTAAGGGGGAAGTGCTGAAGTGCTTCTCATTGGAGACATCTTGGTTTCAGTAGAACAGTTTTCCCCAAAGTGGTACCTTTCAGATGTGCTAGATTATAATCTCCATTGTTCCTAGCCAGCCAGTCCAGTGGCCACACTGGCTGGGGATGAAGGGAGTTTATGCCCATCACATCTGGAGAACACCAGCAAACAAGTGGAAAGAATGATCAGGAGGAGGATGAAGTCCAAGAGCAGCTGAAGAGAAACTAGAAAACAGATTCACTAATTGGGAAGAGTCCACTTAGGGTGTCTGGCTCAAGAATCCCCAGAACACTGGAGGCAGCTCTTAGGGATGAGCTGCAACACTAATGACAGCACATGCAAAAGGTGCCAAATTTAATCCTTGGTATCTCCCTTCAGAAAATGTTGGCTATTGACTGGATTAAAAAGCAAATCAAATAAATATATAATACAGAACATACAATATAATAAATATGTCCACCAAAGTATCCTGCCTGAAATCCTGGAGAACTGCAAGCAAAGTGGCCTGCCAGGCAAGAGTGAGAATTGTATGTTGCACATTGTATGTAAATTTTCCTGCAGACGTCTGATAGGGCTGCAAAGGCTGTGAGTCCCAGTTTAGGAGGCTGATCATATAGTTCATATAGATGCAACTGCAAGAGCATCCATTAAAAGTAGTGTTGGAAATTATACATGACAACATGAGAACTCTTCTATCATTTCTCGGTGATGACTGTTTTATACATGCAAATTTTCCTTCGGTATAAAGCACTTTGATGAAAATGGAACCATGTTGATTTTATCTATCAAATCTGAAACAACTTTGCAGAAATCCTGATCTAATATAAATGGATGATGAACTGGAAACCTTATTATGCCACTTCACAGGACTTTTCATAACTGTTTGACCTACTTAGATCTCAAGTACTCCATGAATATTGCACAATAAATTTGGGAAACAATTCTCTAAGGCAGTGAATATGTCAGTTCAAGTGACACAAACATATTTCCTTCCAGGAGTTGACCTTTTCATGCTGTTTGTTTCATGGAAATGGAAACAATTCAAACACATTAAGGCAAGAATATGAAAAATAAGACACATTTATTTAAATAAAAATACATGCACACACAACACACACAATGTACAATGGAAATGGCTTACACACAGCAATACTTGTGGTTCCTAAACCAATAGACAAAATGGTAAAATAATAGTAAGCGTCAATGCATGCATCAAGCAAGAAAATCAGAATCTGTCATCTAATTCAGTTCAAAAGGAGATCAGCTTGTTTCCCAACCCATTTAAAGCATGCATTCTTCTGAATTTACCCATAATGCTTCACCACAGTAATTTATTCTTTAAAGCCCTAAAGATAACAGTACTGATCATTAGTCTCGCACTATCTTTGTTGACATGAATGGGGCTTGTGCGGCAGTGGTCCTTCACAAATGCATGCCTGTCTGGGTCACATTCCAGAGAACAATTTTGGCCCTACATGAAGGCTCTCTTCCTTGGCCGGCATTAAACCTTCCCTCTTGCACAAGGATTCTCTCCCTTTCTTCCCACAATATACAATCTGACATCAGTGTAAGTGGACACTTATGAATTGCAAAAAAGGATAAACAGACAGAGGACACTGATCTGCACAAGAATTACACGTGCTAACTTCTATGCATGGACACACATTTAGATGTAATACCTATAATTTCCATAGAAATACAGTACATCTCATCACAGTGGGGAAGACCAGGTGACCTGTGTACCTGCTCAGTTTGCAGTACAAGATGCCCACTGTTGGTGGGCAACTTCAAGACGAAGCCCATACTTGAAGTTATCCTTAAAGTGGGCTTCCACTGCACAGTTCTTCAAACAGCAAACACCTTGAAATAGAGGGCCATCCTCTGACAACTCTTCAAAGAGAGGACTGTCCTTAGTAAAGCAGGGCACCAGGCCACCCTACCTGCCATAGCATATCATAAACTGCTTTTCAAAGTTCCTTTAGCTTCAAAAATAATTTGATTTATTATATGTGATGGAGTTCAAGAAAAATAATTTCACATCCTACTTGGGACTGTGGAACTAGACCAGTTTACTGAACTCTGGGTTCCAGGACACAGTATGAAAAAACTTTTCCTTGAAGCATTTGATCACACATGCCAGTCTCCTTGAAGGATTTTTCAAACATCACCTTTTGGCATAACTTCTTCCAAAGTAGTTTTCAAAATTATATGACCACGTTTGCAGACAAAGAAAAGTAATCATGACTGAGAGTTTGATAGCACTTAATGAATAATGGGACATGGGTCATAAGATTCAAGAAACAAGCAGAGAAAAACCTCCCTTCTCAAAACACACACACGATTTCTCACAAATCTAAGTCTGTGCAAAGTTTTTCAACAGCACATGACCTATAATGTGCTATTCTTCCCTTTTAAAAGACACTGAAAATGTACCCAATTGTTTAGACAATCAGAAACACATACTTGGATGCACTACTTTGCTTTTTAAACAGTCAGGAAAACAATACATAAGCAAGAGGCAAAGGGCTATAAAAACACACCCATGAAGGCTACAAAGCACTGCACAAACCAGTGGTCTCAAGCATGCCGAAAACTCTACATTGCATTAAATAATTTAAAATTCAAGCCAACTGTATATGTCAAGTCAGGAATATTCTGTTCTGGAACATAATTTAGAAAGTACTATAATACCCAAAGAATATACCTGATAGTTGTCTTCTGTTCATGAGTTTTCCTGCTGGTCACAAAATTATCCATAAAAGATAGCATTAGAAACTAAGTTTCTGAAGTGCAATATTTTTCGAGAGGTAAAATTAATGATCTGTTATGCTTCTTTGGAAAAATCCCCCAAAAGTTCAGTGATAATGCTTTTAAAACCATTAGCCTGGCCTTGAATTTACTTAAAGCAGCAACATTGTTTGGAATGTAACAATGTTAGCAAAAGGGAGAGGAGGGTAGTATGCTTCATTTTTTTCTGTATCTGACACAGTTTTTTTCCATACTGGATATAGAAAGGAGGTGGAGCTCAGCCTGTGCAGCCCCAGCTCTGAGTAATCCTATGCCCCAGATAACATTGGGAGGCCACTGGATTGTGCTCTTAATACTGCTGGCTATTCATGCTTCTAGAGGGACAAAAAGTTTCCATGACTTTGTTCATTAATAGCCTTCAGTCAGAAAATTCTATTTCTGATTACAGTATGCCGAGCTATTATTTTAATGCAGTAGACATCAGAAACATATGCATATAGTCACAATATGCATGTGTGAATTCTTCCATACCTATTCAATTATATGTAATTAGCAGGTACTAAATAATGTACTGCATTTGATCTTTTTTTAATATTCAAAATATTCATGTGTAGCTATTCTTTACACTTTAGTTTGCTCCTCTGTTACATCTGTTCCAAAATGCATAAGATACTGTAGTACAGAGAAAAGGAACTGGCATCACTCTTAATTAACTCATGTTCATTTTAAGCAAGCAAATGGTATGAAACATATTGAATCAACTGGGACTAATCACACAAATTTTAGCAAAAGTGGGAAGCCAGATTACATTTTAACATGGTGGTAGTATAAAGAAAGCTTCATTCTGAGAATCCATATCCTCAAAACAGTTTTGATCCTGAGCGCATTGAACAAATTACTTACAATAATATGGTTTCACTGCCCTTTTAAATATGGAACTCTTTTATAATTTAAATACAACATAAATTATAGATAAACACAGATTCAAATAATATCTGCAATGGCAAAAGGAAATCAGTTTGTGTGATGACATTCCACAATTGTTGACACTTGCCAGACAGGATTATCATCTTTACCTCTGCTAACCTTTGGCTATGCTAATTATATTTTGCTGAATTTCCCTACATTTTTTTTTAGCTGGATACAACTTAACTTCCTGCCCCAGTTTTCACTGATCAGATCTCAGTGAAAGAATGGAGAAGTTTAATAAAGTCATACAATTTGGCTGAATCTTCTTGCTTATCACAATAAAAATGAACTTCATTTTCACATGTGGTGCTCATTTATTTATAATTCCCAGCATCTGTAATTCAAATCTAGAACTTAAATTTACATTTGTCTTTAAAAACGGCTCTCATTTCTGATCCACAATGACAGTCACAAATGATGAGATTCTTGATTAAACGTTGCTGTGTCACAAGGCAAATTATCCTTTGTCCTTCATGAGAATGGTTAATCATGACCACAGGTTACACTGTAACCATTACAGGTTACCTAGATTATTTCATTTCTGTAGGCTACCATTCTGTTTTCATTCAAATGCAAACATTCTAACCACCCAAGATCTAATCTCCTTTTCTATTCCATTTTTTAGATTGTCCAGAATATAGACTCCAGTGGCCATCCTTGTTAAGTGGTCCATTAACACTGCAGAGATCATCTAGTACGACTCTAGATCCTGCTTCCAAGACAATCACAACATACTACTTAGCTTAGTGAAGGAATACCCCAGCTTTTTTTAAAGCAACACATGGAACTGGAGCTGCAAAGATCATTCAGGAAAGCAGAAGATTTCAGCAAATATTTAATGATGCACCGTCACCGAGATTAACACTTCTTTTCAAAATGTATCATGGATCTTACATACTGCAGCCCAACTTTCACTTTAGCTCTGACCGTAATCCAGCCTGAAATATTTCAGACAATTCAGCGCTGCTTGATATGGAAGTGGGTTCATGGTGACACCTACCAACTCAAGATTTGGTCTTCCACCTGCATAATGATCAGGCTGGTTAATGAGATACAGTCTCATACTATTTATTAAAGGTGGTGGTAGCCAGAACACTCAACCTACCATACTTTTACTTTGAATGACAGTACGGTTTGGTAAGACAGGTCCTAGGTATTTTTCCCCCTCTTACATACTCCCAATCTGAGAGGCAACACAAAGGAATTTGTGCTAAGTAAGGAGCAAAGTTGTGTGCTCCTGCACACATTTTGTTTATATTTTGTCTAAGCTTAGGTGTCAGCTTTTCCATATGTTCCCTCTGGTGGTCGGTAGTACTTTGGGAAAGCCATCAGCTGTATCATGTTGAAAGCATACTTTCTGCATTTGACATTCTTCAGTACATTCTCTATGCGGCATCCTTCTCTATTGAAAAGGGGGAAAAAGACAACTTCATGAAACAAAGAATAAATAAATATGTTTTATTTGTACATTGCAGAGTTTCAGCAACAATTGAAGTAAAAATAACAAAGATCCAACTCTACAATATATTTTCCACAAGTGATGATACATCTTACAAAATTAGATCCAAGGCCAGGCCCAATACAGTTATTGCCCTTAGAAGCAGATAGTGGGATTTCTTTTTTCAGATTTATCTCTCACTGTGGTTTGATTAAAGATTAAATACTTTAAATGTTACTCTACTTTTAGAAATATATTTGCTTTAAAAAATCTTTAATATTTTTTTCAGATTGGGTTTGTTACATCTCTGTAGTACATGTTAAACTTCACATGTAGCCTTAAGTGTGCAGGTTCTAGGAATAAGGCATTTTATTAAGTCTGGCCCTATAGATTTGCGAGGGAAGCTTCCATCTTTGTATTATTTCAATATGTTTAGCTTTGCAAATGAAAGAAAGAGGAAATGGCTTCCAGTAGCCTGATCCAATTCTCTGCTTTACAAAGAAGGGATGCTTAGTTCATACACAGTACAAAACTCACAAGAGCCAACATGATGTATCAAGACGGAAAGAAAACTTTGCTCAAAAGAATATAAATGTGTTTTGTAAAGCCAAAGCAACCAAAGCAACAGTTACAGACATGTTAATTTTGTTACAAACAGAAGTTACTGAATGCCATAGAATGGCTTGACAGAAAAGGGTTAGTTGTAACAAAGAAAAAAGAGTGGACTGTTAGCTAAAACAGAAGGGTCCTACCAGCAAGTAACAATGAAAGCAGCACACTGAAATTTATCCTTACAAACAACCTGTCCAGAGAATTCAACTTAAATTTAGATGCATGGTGCAGTGCATTTTACATCTTCACACAACTTTGGCTAATAACTGATGAACATCACAGACAAACTTGTGAATGGCTTTATACTCTGAGTTTTACCACCACATTTTCATATATGGAGCCACTTGCCTGATGTGGAGTCCCCATATAAAAATTGTAATGATACCATTCTCCCTTTTACGTTAAACCCTGGCAATTTACACTTGTGAGTGCATGTGTACGTGTGCAAAGGATGTGGCAAAGAATGATTCCTGCAAATGTGTCCTCACTTAAAAATGAGGTGGTAAAATCACCCTGTAAGGGTGTGAACTGGCCCTAAAATGAGGCTTGTAAAAAGGGGAAATTCAGATTTCATGATTAGATCGTATCTAATTAAGAGACACTGATAAAATGGATTTTATTAGAACCAATGATAGTGCAAGAAGGATTGCTAGGAATAGAAAGCAGAGCAAATCACATGATGCATAGCATGCTATCCTGATCTCTTGGGTGGGGCAGAATAAAACTTTTACAGTTCAAGACATTGGCTTCTTAAGGACAACTTTATGGGTCTGAAAAATGTAGAAATAATACAGCACATTTTAAATCTTAAGCCGTTGCTGTTCATAGAAAAGAAATGAAAAGAAGTGATCTTTACTGATATTTGGCTAATAATAAAGCGAGACTTAAAATAAGCCACACAACCAGCAAATGCGAGCTGACAAGCAGCAAGGCGACAGGATAGAAGTGACGAGAAGTTGGCTTGTTATCAGTTAGACAGCCTGTCTCGGGATCATCCGACTCATTCAGTGCTCCCTGGGTTTGTCTGCTGTTAAACAGGGGAAGTTAGGAACAAATAAGATAGCATTTAATAGGAGAGAAAGGCAACACTTAGGTATTCTAACAATAAAGATGGCCACACAATATAACAAATATATGTTACATAATTCCATTTAGGCTACTTTGACCACTAGATAAGAATGTAACTCACATATTCAAGGGTATTCCTCCAATAGGAAAACAAGGATCAGTGGCGAAGAGTCCTCACTGATATTTCTTAGTGCATTAAAGATGCCTTCCCAGGTTAGAAGCTCTTAATGGAACTCCCACCCAAAGGCAGTAAAATAAGCCTGAAATGTCATGAAGTGGAATAAATGGATAAAGGTATGATTTGCAGGAAAGTAAACGGGAACAAGTGAGGCCAATGCAAAACTACTTAGGACCCTGATGAAATACTGCAACCAAAGCAGCCCCCACCACTGAGAGCGATAGGGGGACCTCAGTTTTGTGGCACTTCTGCATGTGCACCAACTCTTCAGGCCCTGCCATGCTCAGTCTCTCGCTTTCCTCTATTCAGACCTTAGCTCTGTCAATGCTGTTTGCTCCTAACGTACATGGCAAGTGCCAGCACGCCACAGCTGTCAGGGGTCCTGCTGACAAGGGTTTGCCCTTCTTCCAAAGATGTTTTCTCCTAGCCTGAGGTACCATGCAGTGCAGTCTACATCCTTTTTACATTTCCCACAATGCCCTTGGGGGTGCATCACTTGTGGGACCTGTGAGAAATTAAATTAAAATGGTGGCCCGAGTCAGCCACGTGGTATTGATTGGATCACTGTAAGCCCACCAAGACATATCAATGGAGGAGCCCCCTACTCTGGGAAGTCATTTTGCCGAGAGATCCCACAAATCTGAAGCCAGGTTTGGCATAGGAGCTCTCTGTAATAAGATTGCTTCAAACACTTCAGTTCTAAACAAAAAATCAAACAACTTTGATCATCAGCCTGCAAATTCAGTGATTACTTATGTATAACTTGTGGGTTGAAAATCAGTAAAATCAAGCGATTTAGTCTGTGAAAATTATCATCAGGTTGATAACATTACCATCAAGAAATGTATAAAAATGTTTCTATTTTAGACTAAAGATAACCACTCAGCTATAGGAACAAGGGAAGTTCTTTAAATCAGGGTTATCTACGTTGACAGGAAACCTCTCTGCAGAGTCTCAGGAAGAGCATTTTCCCACATTTTGCTTCCTGATTCTTTTTTCAACTGGAGCAGCCAGGGCTGAGACCTTGCATCTTCTGCTCTACCATGGAATTCCCCATGTGCAAAATGCTTTGACGACTGGGATCTCTGAGCCCACTCTAGAGTAGAACTGAAGAAAAGGCATAGCTGCTCAGGACAGATAGAAAGTCAAGTCTGCTTTTCTCCTTAGCTTCTTGTCAGTGAGATGCAAGGATTTTTTGTGACCATTTTCCTGTGTCACTAAACTCATATACGTATTTCAGTTTTCAGTACTGGTGGGAGTTATTCAAGATCACAGGAATTCATCTCCACACGATTGTACATTTCTGCTGCCAAATAAATGACATGCAGCGCTCTAGTCAAGCAAAGTGACTGTTGAAGAACGTACAAAGAATATTGCAGTCACTAAACAAAGTGGTTGTGTCAACAGCCAATTTAGATTTTAAAGATTTTGTGCAACTGTGGTCTAAGTTCTTGAGAGGTAGTTTTTACCACTTTTAAGATCCCATTTTTGCTTGTTATTTGTGCTCCATCAGTTTGACTGGCAGAGGTTGGGATATGGGTGTATACTACTTTAGGGGTGGGAGTTCTTTCTCTAAGTCTTTCCCTCTTCAGCCTCCCTGCCAAACCCCTGCAGACCCAAAGGAAAAGAAGCACAAAAACTCGGAGTTCACATCAGTCAGCATCAAGAAACTGGGAAAATCATTTACACAGGGGCAAAATTCAGGAAGTTTGTTGTTGTTGTTTCTATAAAGCAGAAGGAAGAAACAATATGTGAGAGCGTTGTGCAGCCATGAAGACTGAGAACTGGAATGCTGAATGAGTCTCTAGATGTAAGATGGAATGCAAAGCAGTGACATTAGGTAACAAATGATGGAAGCCATAGAAGCAGAAGGGGAAGAAGCTCAGTTTAAAGTTATAATAGCCAAGATTCTGGGGTTCCTATACAATTGGGAGGAACTAAACAAAACAGACTTTCTAACCATGATTTGTTTACTTCCATGATGACCAGGAATTCTGGCTTGTCTCTTCCTCAACAAGCCAGGATCATAAGCCATTGTTTGTTATCAGCTGATGACAATGTTTATAAGCATGCCCATAAAAAATAAGCCACAATGAGTTTATCACAGCGTGAGAAATATGACAGTAAGGTATGTACAGTTGAAGAAGAGTGACAGACAAGACCTCCATGTTTGTCAGAAACTCAAGTTGGAAAGGTGGTGAGAGGAGAGTGTATTTCATTTCTCATTTTAATGTGAATTGACTAGCCAAATAATTTTGGCCGCAACTCTAATAACATTAAATTACAGAAATTTCAGGCATATAAACATGAAGTAAAAGGCAGCAGCTGTGAACTAAACTGAAGAAGCTACAGATTTAAGTTGAAGCACTAATACGTGCCAGCATGCTTCTATCCACAATTTCTAAAATAAGTCAACAAATCAGTGTTAGAATCTGAATTCTAATATATAATGTCACAATGTAGCCTCATGATGGCATTTCTCCTGAAATGATATAGTTTGTGTTAAGAGAGAATGCACGTACATGGGTGTGTGTGTGTGGTGGTGTGTGTCAGGATGACAGAAATCTTCCATTCACTGGCACTTTATTTTGCACGTTGGTAGCATCTGGTCTTTATCTTGATGGAAGAGACAAATTAAATCACCCAGGCCCTACCTAGACACCGCTGTTCATGATAAGATTAGATGAATTCGGTATGTATTGATTTGACATTGCCATAGGCCAGGCATGTTTGCTTTTTTTTTTTTTTTTTTGTAAAAGGTGAAGCATGTGCTAATGAATAATCCTTTTCATAAAAGTTGCTATCAGCATTGCACAAGGATACATTGGTAAAATGAATGTCCTAGGTGGACAGAAGGACTGAGTAATTTTCTTTAAGAATTGTTCATATTAGTAAGTGATCCATGTTCTTTCATTTGCCCTTTAAAACAGTGGAAATGAAGTTTGGAGAATGAGAATATTGCTTATTATATAAGTTGGGACTAATGTAATTAAAGTTGGGAACCAAGATCAAAGATAGTGCAAAGGATCAAATGGAGCAGAAGAAAACTTTGTACACATAAATGCCTCCAATGGAATACCAATTTGACATTATTTCTGAATCTGTA